CAGCAGGATGCAATTTTATATTAAAGACAAAACTGAACAAATAACATTGTACAGGATATTGCGGGTTCACTTTGGACACATAAAAATATTTAGAGCTCACATGGCCTCAATAAATTTAGAAACACAACCTGGGAATTCTACAGCATCTTCAAACTTCAAAACTGCACGTTGAGAAGATTTTACTTTTCCTTATGCATTTCCCTTACACAAATCAAACACAGAGCTCACGAGACAAAAGAAATGGGAGAAGGAATCAGAGCTATCTGAATATAAATTTGATGAGAAGAATAAGCTCACCACAAAGCACAGACTAATCTCAAAGACCATTGTAGAATACGAAATCCAACACCATCAACCTGCTCAAGATACCAAAAGAAACCCATTGACCCCTATCCACTTGGCATTCAGACCGAGCTCAAATCTGCCAGTTTGGCTGCTAATCTTATTTGACAGTATCAGATTTGGTTCCTGTTAGCTGAATCCATTACAGGACATCAGTCACACAAAGTAAACAGGGTGATCAGTGAATTTCTTGGTCCTTCTGCACAGCACAGGCTGGTAGGCTAGCAGAGACATAAGGTGAAAAGATGACTTGGACAACTCAGGCTAGGGGAAGAACTTACGCAGTCAGTATGCTTTCAGTTTTAATGTGTTATTCTAGTTCCACTTTATTTTGATTTGCTAATAGAAAAGTTGCCTCTAAGGTTCTACATTTACAGTATGTTACGCCTACAAAATCCTTTGCTGTTTTGTCTGATTCCTTTTATGCGGAGCAATAAGCGCTTGCCAGTGGGGAAAAGAACTGCCCTGCTCTCCCCATCAACACTGCAATCTCACTGCCACCTTTAAGTCTCACATACACATATGTTATTAAAATCACATTCCTGACCTTTCACCCAGCAAGTGGGGCATGGAGTATATTCTGCAGTGATATTAGAGTACCAGGTACTACCAAAATATGATTTATAGGATTGCTAGTGTTTGTAATAAAAAGTTTAGCAGGTGGATCAGGGTTTGTCTTCTTCTGAAAAACACAGTTTTATAGATTGATTAGGTATGTTCTTCTCTGGATATCTCTAATATTAAAGCTAAGAGTCACTTTTATTAATTCTTGAAGGGAAACTGAAAATCTCCCTCACAAGAAAATCCACACACTCTCAACAGTTGTGTTGCAAAATATTTGAGACAGTCCAGATGCCTAAAGCACAGTATTAACTGAAAAGAGAACATCTGCAAACAGAAATTTATCCACAGAATACTTTTCATTTTCTGATTGATTATTCTCTTTGAACTCTATATTAGCTTACGGTTTGGGGTAAATTGCATTCCTGGTTTTATTTGTGTGAGGTCCCTGCCTAGGAAACCACAGAAAACACTTTCAAGAGTATTTTCAAAGGCTGGAAGGACACACAATCATCACCTTAGCACTATTCCTGGCAGAACACTGCACTTGTTTATTCATGTCAGCTCAGTTTATGTATGGCATCCTCCCACAGTGACAAGAATTGAGGTCTGTGGGAGTCAGGTGATGCCAACTTCAACAAAGTGAGCTTAAGATTTTCTCTGCACGTGGAAACGACTAGGCAAACAGCTACCGAGGTGCTGACGCCGTTCTCCTGACTTCTGCATCTTGGATGGTGTTGTCTTAACCCTGGATTAACCTAACTGCTTTCACAGTAATAGACTGCCATGCCTTTAATTATGCATGGCAAGTAAAACCTTACAGTACAGCTCAGGCAACTGCTAGTCCTTCATGCAACAATAGGCTTGCAAACTTGATCTGCACATACCATCCAATTTCCTATGAAGCTTTAGAAAAATAAGTGCATTTCAACTAAATAGCCAACAGGTACCTCTCTTCAGCTGGGTACCATAGCTAAGGCTTAAACTTCTTCACTGTAAGAATGATGTATGAAAAACTGTTTGGAACCATTGATCTGTCATCACAGAACATTCCAGCAGCAGTAAATAATACTCTATGACTCTGTTCCTAACATGTATAGCCATATATTAAGCAAGTATGATATCAAATTTCTAAGAAAAACTAGTACATGAGTAGCTCCAAGGACTACCAGAATAAACACAATAAATGACATAATATTTCATTTAAAAATAAATTTAAATTTAAAGCCTTTTCTAAAGTCTTGGATTCTGTAATTATAATCTTTCAGAATATTCCCAATTTATAGCTTAGAGAAATCATTAAAGTTTTCAAAAGTCCACTTAGTTTCATAACTGAGAAATGCACAGAGGAAGACAAAATTATATTTGGTATGCAAGGTGAAAGTTGCTTTTTTTCCAGCTGTAGATACTGCTATGTGAAGTCTCCAAGTACCTGAAATAAGTGCATTTTAAAAAGGATTAGTTTTGTGATACTCTATTATTATCTTGCAAACGTATCATATAAACACAAAAAAGAGTTAAGCTGTTTTCCTGATAGCACAGTCTGAAATTAAGATTTAAAAGCCATGCTTATGGATTCATTTTGAATGCAGTGATAGTTCATGATCCTGAACTATCTATTTTTGGCGTTGATCTTTCTTATTAATTATGTTAGAGCTGACTCTTCATCTTCTTATAAAAATTGCAGCAATATCCAGTATGGTTCGTAGAAGAGAGCGAATTCTTTATGAACATACAGCTCCCAGTTATCTGGACTACTTAGTCAGATTACATGACTACGCCACTGAGCAGAGGTGCACACACCTGGCTTTGTGCTGAACCTGTTTGGTTCTTGCTAGGGCTATAAACACAATGCAGGACAGATATACTGCTTCCAGACCCTGCTCAGGTCAGAAATCAGTTCTACTGTTCTTCCATAATCCCTAGCATAAGGTGTTAAACACCTAAACATGGTGAACTCGGTTCTGTGAGCTGAGCTTAATGTTTGCAGGTGTCAGCATAGATCTTCATGTAGCTGGTGCTAACAAGTCTTGTTGGAGACACCCAGCTCCCATTTACACATTCCTCACTAAAGGCAATCCACTCCCTAACTGTGTCTGATTTGGGAGAGTCTACTATAGTTTCAAAATGCCAGTATAAGCTGCAATAAAGAAAGATCCTTACAGAATTTTATGTTTTGCTGAGACATTAAGAGCAAGTAAAATGTTTCCAGAGGACTGGATTCATTTTTGTACCAAGTATTAATCTGAATTTACCATATGGAACAGACCAATTACAGAGCCTTGCCAGCTTGGGCAGTATACAAAAACAAAGGGGAATGTTCTCACTGATTAATTTAACCTCCCACTGAAGCCACATACCTTCTGGCACTCACCTAAGCTAAAAGGCTCATTGGGCAAAATACAAACTTTGTATGGATGAAGGTCTTCATTCCAAAATAAATATTGACTTATTTTTTGTTTTGTTTACAAAGGGATTGTACATTTTTAGAGCTATTTTTAAAGGTTTCTTCACAAATTGAAAAGTTAACCACAATATCCTCTCCACCCAATAGCCCTCTACATAAACACCCCACAAACAGCTCACTGTTCTTTGTAGTTCTAGTGTGGCAGGTTGCAAACCTATTTTTGAGATATTGTACCAACATCTTTTCCTCACTGACCTGAGTTTTATTTAACAAAAGACTAAAAAGCAGAAGCTTATGAAGGTATTCTCTTTTCTCTCAAAATATTTATTTCAATATGATTTTAAAATACCAATCCCCTTTGAAGATGTCTGCCAATGAGACAGAAAATGCACCTCTCTTCTTCCTCAGAACTCTCTGTAGGTGTCTTGAGAGAAGCTAGTCATGTTTTAACATTGACCAGTGCTGTCAATGAGTGAGGGCAGGCAGGATCTTACATTCCTACCTTACTCTCAGTGAGAATTCTTCTATAGAAAAATACCTTGTCCTTAAAAAAACCCAAACACATCATAGGATGCAACAATAAACATCTCAACTCTGTATTTTATCCATGTGTTTCAATCTTACGCTTGAGATGATCATTTGTGAAGACAGAAGAAGGGTAACTGTATGACAATTTAACTTTTGAGCTTTCTGTCAAGAACATCAGCAAAGATGAAAAAGATGTGATTATCTTTCAAAAAGTATAAATATTTTCTTGCAATTACATCAAAATTCTCAGGAATGTAAATGGGTCATATATAGCCTAACAATCAACAGCACTTTGTATGTGTTAAATTCATACCAGATTGTTACATCTTACTGTGGAGAACATGCCAGGACTCTCATAAAACATCATTCTAAGACACTATTGTTAATATATTTACTCCACAGCAAATCCTCACTGAAAGACAGACAGAGAGACAAGCACCTTTCACTGTAGTTGCTACATTCGCTTAGGATATCTGAAAGCAAACTATATGAACAACCTAAACCCAGTAAGTATTAAATCTAGTGTTTGCCCCACCCCCACCTTCCAGCCACTTCAGAAGCCAATTTGGTTTTGTATTGTGTCTCTATATAAGAATCTCATTTGGAAGAACACAGTGAAGAACAAATATTCTCAATGATTATTTAGTAATATGACAAGCTAGACAGCAGAATAACGGCGTTCAGCTAAAATAAAATCAGAATGTTCCAAATAATTATCAAGAGTATCTCTCAATGGTATAAAGCCAAGTCTTTCAGTATTTTGTTTCAGTTCCATACTTTTTATTTCAATAAACATGTTCACCTACCATAACAGCTGAAATTATGGCCATCTACTGAAGTCTTTTAACTTGCTACTATTTTTTTACTCTTTCAAGAACTTTATCTCTCATGGATAGAAAAGTACAGCTTTTTACTATTTAAAAATAAGAAGAGAAATGTCTTTCTAGCTTCATAGAAGCTGCAGAGTGACTTTATCTATATTCTTTTCAATCTTTTTAGTCAGTCTAATGAATCAAAACATTTAATTTACATTTTTAAATATTTACCTAACACCTACTTCCAATGATATTTTGAAATGTAAACATTTTTGAAAGCTAACATGTACAAATCTAGGGTACACTCCTGACTAGCAAAAAAGAATGAACAAAATTTAACAAGAAGTTTCTGATTGCAGACTAGCACTTGCACAGTAATACAGACTAATGCAATTTAAAACTTTACATAAATCTGAGAATAATAAGACAAGCCATCTTAGATGTATCAGAAGATATTTACTACGTAATTTGACTTCTGCATCTGGACAAGGACATGTGCACCCACAGAGTCACTGAACATGGCTAAATGAAAGCTACATGAGGGTAGGAGTTCAAATAAATTGTCTTACACTTCTGTAATACGGAATCTTTCTAGCAGTGTTACCTACAATTTTTCAGCATGCCTATTTAACAGCTCCTTTGGCTTTTTACTGGTTTTGCTGTAACAATACATGTATTTTTTGATGCATGACCGCCATCTTTTGGACTTCTACTAACATTACAATTTTCCAAGCCAGGGGATTGAAATGTTGTCTTTACACATTTCATGTTTGTTCTTCAACAATATCCAGAAGATACAAATTTATGCTATACTTATTCTCTATTTGATGTTCATATATACACTTAAGTCTTACATTATCAAGCGTTTGTTATCGAAACACAGTTTTGTGCCAAGTATTGAAAATGTTTATCCTTTATCTTAGAATATGCATCATAAAACATGAAAGCCCGTATTTCAGGTGTAAGCACAGGCTTACACACAAGATTTCCCATACATGCTGACTGTAGTAATGAAGCCTCAGCGAGTTGTATGCTAAGAGAATGCTCTTCCTTTCTCTGCTTTCCTTTAGCTACATTACTGAAAGTAAATCCCCCTAGCTCAGGCATTGCAGCTTCCAACGTAGCTGTGCCTAGGAAAAACTATACTGGTGACTGCATGTTAGTGGAACATGTCGTACAAGTGTGTATTCATCCACAGGAATGTATGTGCATTTGTGATAAATCCCCTGGCCTAGAGAGTCTAAACATAGAATCAAAGATACAACATGCTCAGAAAAAGCAGCACTGAGTGGCTATGGGACTGTATAACCTAAACAAGAAGAAATGAAATAATGCTTTTTATATGTTTCTCTATGAAAAGTCAGTAAGTACAGAATTGCCCATTTCACCTCTGTCTGCAGGATGGCAGCTCTTTGCTCTTTAGCTGTAAGGGACTCTTTCAGAACTTCAATATGCTGCTTGCTGTCAGAGAACTGATTTGTAAGGGTCTCCAGCTTTGTCTGCAAGGCCAGCAACTCAGTGTCTTTGCGTGACAGCTCCTGTTTCACCTGACCAATCTGAAAAAGAAAGAAAAGATGCGCAAAGGAAAAATAATGTATATCTTCCTTACAAAATAACTATAAATTCACATAACTACGAACAAACTAAACTTATCACATGGAATTGTGAAGCCTTCAGTTATCTTGAATGGAAGGCCAGCAAAAATTTGTGTCATGAGCAAAAGATTCAAGGAAAAGAACAGGGGAGCAAAAGCATCAATTTTTCAAGGCAGGTTCTTTAACAGAGACAGTCTGTTCTTAGATATCTTTCAAAGGACTGACCAAAACCTGTTACTCCACAGGGATAAGTTTTAAATGAAGATGAAGCAGAACTGTAGTAAGAAAAATACCCTTACCCTGTGATATCAGAAAAGATGAGATACCTCCAGGTCTCTCTCAGAAGCATGATGTTTGCTTTGAAATGTCAAACCAGTGAGTTTCTGTCCATCTCTCCATCTAATAATCTAGCCTCATGCTTACAGTGTATGTAAACACTTTTACATTCCCCACTATTAAAAAAACAGCATTTCAATCTTCTAAGAAATAACTTTTAATTTATGGAAGCTTCTTAAAGCAGATGCAAATACACATCCAAACACAAAAACTGGTTGTGGAATTGCACTTTACCAAGAGAAATTTCCTAGATTTAATTTAGTAAATTAAATCAGTACCAAAATGCCAATTTATTTTAACAAATCTAAACTGGATTATCATGTAAAAAGACAAGCAGTAAGAAATTTAAAAGTAAAGCATTGAAGTGAGATGAAATCTCATTCTGAGTCCTAGCATCACCCAGGACAATTTTGATGTAAATCTGAAGAAAAAAATATATTAAAGAGGATTGGGAAGTCTAAATGTAGACCTATGTCCAAGTTTATAACCAACTTTCTGGTTTGCCTCCAATATACCTCACAGAATAAAATAGCAATATCTTACTTTTAGATATTGTATAGCAGAGGTGGACGTATCTCTAAAAATGAAACAGTCCTCCCTTTTTTAGCTTGAACAATTCTGTTCAAAATCCCTCAATCCCCAAAGTATGTTGTCCAATGTTTTAAAACAGAAATTAAAGGACATCACAAACTGAAAAAAGCCACATCTTTGGGAATGTGTCAAGAACAAAATTAAACTGCTATAAGCTATAAATTATATATATTTTATTTTTAATTAGAATAAACATGTATTAGTAGAAATGACTGAGAGGAAAAGCTTGGATAAGTGTGGTTTTGTCTTTACAACACTTTTCAATAAAGGGCAATTAAAGAAAAAAACTCCTGACTGAAAATTAATAAAATAGCATCAAAAGATGCCATCAGGAACTCCTGTGTTCCAGTGTGAAACAGCATACATGAGGAGATAAGCAAGAAGGGGAGAAGAAGAAGGACATTTATCTCAAAAAAACCTCACACAAACTATTCTTTTAAAATGGAATAATGAGAAGGAGTATAAGAAGAATTTAATTTATAGAACTACTCAATAGTTTATTGTTCACTTAATTCAAACATCCTAGGTTTGGTTTTTCATATTTTTATCTTTAAAAGCAAACATGTCCACAGAATGACTTCACCACCTATTTACATTAGATACAGAAGTATTGATATTAGCAACGCTATTTCTGCTGTCAGCTATAGGCCAATACAACCAGTTGAACAATCCTGCTAGGCACAGGAGAGTAACTAGGAAGAGACTAACTATATTCTGCTAGTTATGTTATAAGCTAGTCATGACATTTCTGGAGTATCTAAACAAAAAAAGGATCCTTAAAAATTTCAGATGACCAATTTTTTCAACTAGTAGGTATCCTGAATTATAGTAAAACTTTCTCAAACCAGTTTGGTCTTTCTTTGAAAAGATAATCCTTTTTGGAGTCATCTCAGACAAGATGTTTACCCTAAATACTTGTGAAACGCTGCTATTTAAACACAATCATATTTTGTTACATAAAAATTTCGCAGTAGCACCTTGAGATTATTCTCTCTAGAAATCCCCGTTTCGGAGCTGTAAGACCACACTGCCAACGTGATTAAGTTCTTTAGGAAGAATGCAAGGCATACCATTCCAAGTTGCAAAAGAAATTAAGACAGCATTAAGTGTTCACACCTCTCTTCTCGGTGAGACACTATGATCACTCAGAAAATGCATTAATTTCACAGCAAAGGAATAACCTAAGTTCATGCTGCTAAAATTAAACCATCGGTTTTAAAAAGCGTTCAGCATCCAGCTTTTGTTATTTATTTTTTTTGTGAAACAATGTTAAGAGGTTTCAGCACATTTTCAAATTATTTTTGTTCTAGTAGGGTAAGCAAATCTCTTTGAAAGTCTGGCCCCAAAATGGGTGCTGAATACTTTTGAAAAGAGTAAGTTATTGCTAGAACAGCTCATACCGTTAAGGAAACCATTAACAAAACAAATATAAATGTTCAGTCGAAGAGTGATGTTATGGACACCAAAACCATGTGAACAAAAAAGGCAGGCTACAAGGCTGAGCAGGCTGTTAGTTCTACTGTTATACCAAGTCGTTAAGAAGTTAAGAGAAGACAAGCTACCCCAAAGCCAGAGAGCTAGCAAGCCCCAGTGAATGGCCACTGCACACAAAAGATAAATCTTACTGCAGAGACCTCGGCTTGGAGACCAGCCACTCTTTTTTTCAGGTCCTCCCCTTGAGCCTCTTTGGCACTTAGCTCTTCCTTCAGTTGCTCTACCTGTCACGACATTGTTATGCTTTAAATATTCATCATCTGTCAGCTTCTAGTTAGCCTGTGTCAATCCAAGTAACTAAAAGTGACAAGAAACTGAACAGAAGGATCAACACTGGTCACTCATTTTCTCTTCCATTCTTCATTAAGTCTTCTCAAAAGTTTAATGTCTCTGTGATTTCATATAGGCTGCCAGACAAGAACTTGATTATGAAACAAAGATGTATAGTTATCGTTACGTTTATATATGTCAAGTATGGGGCACTTCACCCAACGCTTTTGAAACTGGAATTCATGAGGAACTTTGGACAAGAAAAGGGACGTTTTTCAGTTTAAGAGAAATAAAGTTAATTGTCAAGATACAGCCACAGATGACTATACAATACAATACTGAAAAAATAAATGTTGTGCAATTACAAAACAAATTAGGACAGCAAGATACCATGATTGGAGCTGGCTGTGAGTCATGAGTGAATAAGTTATCAAAAAGGAGAAAATTTTCTGCAGGAAAACAAATGAGCAGACAGTCGACAGAAGAGATCCAGGAATGGAGCAGCTAAATAGATCTGAACGCCCACAGAGGGAGGGGAGAAGCTCAAGAGTTGCTAACAAGGGAAGAAGGGAAGAAGGAAAGAAGATAGAAAAAAGAAAGAAGGAAGAAATGATGGAAGGAAGAAGTGCTAAAATCATCTCTGCATTCCTAATTTGAAGAGAATTCAAATCCTTCAATTCCTAGAAGCACCTCAGTGGGGTAAAGGGCAAAAGCGTAAAAGAACAGATTTGGTTGAGATAAATCAGTGAGCTGGCATGAGGGAACTGGAAGAGACAAATACTTATTACATGTTTCTACTTTAGGACAAGTAACACTTCTTGAAGAAACTTTCTCTTTCTTTGACAAACAATTTCAAGCAGGACAAATGCAGTAGGTTACAATTCTTCAGTTCCTAGGAATTTTCAACCTCTGTTCCAGAGATCTGTACACAGCTTGCAGTGAGTACACAAAACCTAATTCCCGAATTCAAAAAAGTAAGACTGCTTTTAAATTTTTAAATTTCCTTTACAAGGTGGCCTGAATCTTCATTAGAAAATGTTAGGGCCCACTAAAAGACTGAGAAACACTTCTTAGGGGAAACAAAGAATGAATTAACTTTTGGCTGTAGACGATTCTGTAGTCAGTGTCCATGTTCATACCTGAGAATCAACATGTCTCACTGCTGAATTTGTCCTGCATAAATTAATGCTGACACTACCACTGTTGTAGAATTCTGATTCCACTACTGGAAGGAGAGTGTAATGGAAAGCCATTATAGTGAAAGTTCATGCTCCTTTCAGTCTTTACATAATAAAAGGACCTACTAGTTATAACAGCTGCAAAAAGAAATACATTTTTCAGTAGGCCACATTTGAACAGACCAAATAAAACCCAAAATTAGAATGGATTAGCGATGTTCTAAAGATACACAAAACACAAAAATCCTCCTGAAAGAAAAGAAAATCAGGTGTGAAAGTAAAAGCAGAATTTGGGCCACTGACCTTCCTGAACCACCATTACAATATTTTCAAATTTGAATGTAAAATTCTATTACATGTTTTTAAGTTATTTTAGTGACTTCAAGGCAGAATACAAATAAATTCTGCTTCTCAGCACTGGAATGGGAACCCAGATTGTAACTCCTTAGTGAAGTCTGAAAATTTCTTTCATCTGTTCACTAAGCTTAGTTGATCTCAGCACTCTCATTCGTTTTCTCAGTACCTTATTTTTCATGAATTTGGAATGACTACGGTACACCTCCATTTGCTTCATTTCCTCTTCACGTTCTTCTGTGCTCAGAGCTCCATTTGACTTCAACATCTGAATCTCCTCTTCCAAATCCCGGAGGCCACGCTCCATGGAAGAAATTTTTGAATCCTGAAAACAGTTAGAAGAGACAGATAAAGATACACAGTAAGATGATTTGTTAACATACCAATGGAGTGAAAAATAAAGGAAATAATTTGTTGGACATGTACCTGCCCTTGAAATTTACTCCTGAAGTTCCTACAGAAATAAGCCTACACCTCTTTACGCAGCATCTGGCTGAGTGCTCAAGTACTCGTTTTTCAATTTTTTATGCCTTTCAAGGAAAGCAAGAGTTCAGTACTGAAAGAAAACATGGCTAGGGGCATGGACACAGTATATGATGAATAAATAAAGGAACAGGAGAAAAGGTTGCCTTGTAATGCAAAGCTGTACAAACCAGAGAAATTTAATTAACAGTCACAGTAAAATGTGACTGCAAGAATGACAAAAAAATGGGTTTCTGCTACTAGTGCTTTAAACGCGGTCACAGATGGAGAACATAAAAAGCACCATAAGCGAGGAAAAGATGCAACAATCTAGTTTTGGGTGGACAATTAGTTTTGAGTGGATAAAGCAGATCCTTCAAGTATGCTGGCTCATATATACAACATATAAAAAATTTCCATGGATAAAAAAATATACATCTAGAGACATCAAACAGTCAATCTACCATTATCCTCATAGTTTTACAGGATGATCAGAGGTTTTCAATCTACTTGATCTACTGCTTCTTTAGAAGTTTTATGTGTTAGGAACAGCAAGAACAGACTAATACAGCACACAGAGCTTCATGCATGCTCATGAACATGGATATGTATTTATGAGTTGTAATCTCTTTCTCAAAAATATTACATCTTTCCTGAAATACAGGTAGGACTTGAAACTATCCTTCATTCTTTCACAGACCAATCCTTCATTTGTTTTGTGTTGAATAACCAAAGCTCAGCTGAAAAAAAAAAAGCCTGAAAAGATTTTAATGTATAGGTTTTCACTCATGAGGTAAGATTTTTCTAAAGGACCATTATGAAGATATAGTCAGATCTCACACTTTTGTTTCAATGCTTAAGTTAAAATCAGTAAAGCGGGCTTGTGCAACAAAAAATTAGAGAGGTGGTAAGGTGAAGTATTAAGTTCTAATTTACAGCAGTGTTTAGTTTCAGCGCTCACATCACTTCCCAGAAGTAATAGTGTTTCTCTTTTGATAATAAAGACAGCTTATTGTTACCAGATGGTCAATTAGTTTTCATTACTATGGGCCACGAAGCTGACTAATAAAAGAAAGATGGTAAATGAATGGCTCCAGGGTAGAAAGATGGGAAATGACTATGGAAAACATTGAGATTGAATGGAAAGAGTTGGAAGGGTAAAAACGAAGGAAAATAAAGGAAAAAGGCGCAGGTAAAGGCGTGAGATAAGGGAGGTATGAAAATGGAAGAGAATGGTTAGCAAAGGTAATTTCCAATTTTTTAACTGTATTTGTCCAAACCCTGTCTGATGCACTTTATGGACCATACAGTATGAAATATGATCACATAAAGCTGTGTAAACCACAGGCTCCACTTGTGGCTCCGGAGCTCTTGGCAAATTGCCATTGTTCCATTAGATACTTGAGAATTCAATCACAAAGTCATCTAGAAAAGTTAGGTTTAGGATGACATACAGACATTTTTCTAGCCATATGACCCATTCTTTAACTGAGTTTTGAGTTTGTAAATGACTAACTTTGTTGACACACAGAATGCAAAGCAGTATTTCAAATGTTGACATTATAAAAAGAAAATAACCCCCATCATTATAAAGACTTACTAATCCATCATTTCTATCCTTGTAATACAACGGACTCTTGCCTAACTGAAATAAAACTGCATATGCTGCTGCAGGCAGACAGAAGGCAGGTTTCTATTGTGTCATGAAGCAGATCTGTCTCTTCACTGATCGATAATAATATATAATAAAACAGTATTAAAATATACTTATTTTAAATTAGAAGACTGACAGAAGTAGATGGTATTTGGTAGAGTCACCTTTCATATGAAAAACCTATTTTTCAGAGAACAAATCGTACTGCTGCCTATATGCAATCATTTACCTTCATCTCAATAACAGTTTGCAGAGCCTTTGTCTTGGCTGTGTCAGGTGCATTTTCAAATCGACGATGGATCTCCTGTATCAGCAGAAAAGAAAGCAAGAATTATCCTAACAGCACTTTGTTCCACCTACCAAATACGAACAAAATTACTAGCAGCTTCTCTTTCTAGTACACAGCACAGCTATGTATTAGAAAGAAAAAAAAAAAGGGAAAAAAAAGAAATTGCTTTTCCTCACTTGAAAATTCATGTATCTGAAAACAGAATAATTCTGAAGATGATTCTTTAAGATTAAAAAGGTGAAGAAAGATCCAAGAGTAAAAAGTATCCTATTCTGAACTGCCTGAGTTTTTGCTAAATGTAGTCTTATCTCCAGCTGTACCTGTCTCATCAGGTGTACCACCATCCAAAGACTCTTGTTGTAGAATAAAATGAAAAAGCTTGATAAAAGAAATCAAAACAAATCCTTGTTAAATTTTAGAAACTGAGCAAACAAAAGATAAGATAAAAAAAAATATGCCAAAAGTCTATTTTGAATAATGTATTACAGCATCATAGAATCTTTTAGGTTCGAAAAGCCCCTTTATTTTAGTAGTGCAATTTCATACTAGATGATTTCCACTTGTGCAGAGACATGGTCTCTGACCTGAGAACATAAAAAGCAACTACTACTAGGGAAATGGAATAAATGGAATACACAGCAGGAGAACAGCATGTCACTAAAGAGATTCTGACACAACAGTGTCTGCTTTTTACATTGCACAGCGTTTTCCCAAATAGAAAATTATTCTAAGCTTTTTCTTTAGAAATGCCTGTATCCCCACTGTCTGAAGTGATGCCTGGCGCTTTGGCAAAGGAAATGTCCTACTTCTATCATCTTAACTAATTCCATTGTGATTTGGCTGACATAACCTGCTGAAAAACAACACCTCCCACCTCTTGACTGTGCAGTAAGGACTTAATTTTGGCATCATGCCTATGATTCTAAAGAGCCTGAAAACAGGACTACAGGCAGACTGGACCTTGCTAGAACACAGATTTAAGTGTGGCTGCTGAAGGCAGTGCATAGATATCCTTCGTAATTGTGAAATATAGGTTACATACTTATCTTTCAGTGGCAGAATGGAGAAATACAAAATTTCATCTCTCTGATGTATTCATATTACATTGAGGACACACAACCACACAGATGAATGAAAATTCATTTTCAACCAGGACTTTACACAATAATTAAAAGCATAGGGTCACACACAAATATCAGGATCAGAAAAACACAAAAATAATATTTCATTCCTTGCAAGTTATGCTTTCTGATGAAGTATCAAAGCATTATTCCTTCTACTTTCACACATAAAAAACTTTCACAAGTAACTGATATTGTTCTGTAACAGCTTAGTAAACTTCAGCATCTTCTTACCTTTGAATGCAACTGAAATTATTATAACATGAGGCGGCTCATATATATGTATATATATATGGGGTTTTATTTTAATGAAATGTTCGGTGATTATTTCAGAAAAAGATAACAAAAAAGGGGAAAAACCTACTTGTTCCCCAGTTATGTGCATCATGCATGCTTTTCACTGTTAATTACCATTACTATAAAAAATATGCACCATATTTGTTTTTCAGTTTAGCAAGTGGGCACTTTTAGCCACCAGATATCATCACAACATTGCCAAGAATATTGAAGAATGCCATTTCTGTTCTCAGTTTTGTGTTTAATACCTTATTATTACAACCTAGTAGTTTCTACAATTCTTTGACATGACCAAGAAAAGCTGCAGGTGGAGGGACACCTTGTTACCTGTTAGGCACTAGTGCTACCACTACAGGTATACCGTGTCCACTTTGTTGGTGTACAATTTCAAAATTATATTGATATATTGAAGAGAGTCCAAAGAATGACTGCAAGAGCATAATTTGTCTTTAGGGGGAAAAAAACCCCAACTTTATGGTGCAAGTTGATCACAACTTTAAAGGACTTTCACAGGCAACAAAAATTGAAAATGAGCTGTCCTGTCGAAAAAAACTTTTAAGATTCAATCACTAGAAACTGAAGGCTAGAAACAGACAGAATATCAAACAGCGTGGCCACCTTAACCAGAGTTGGGGTTGCTACTCCACCACTACCAATTTTTAATCAAGAATAGCTATCTTCCTTTAACAAAACAAAACAAACCTTACTTCAAAAAAAGATATAAACTAAAGGTGTGAACCACATTACATCTGCCAGGCAGGTCTGCAAGGGAACACAGTACTCCCATGAGAAACAATACTGTAATTTTCTGGTCAGCATAACTACACAGAACAGGTGATCAAACACACTAAGAACATTGAATATGTAAAGAATAGCTGTGATGGAACTATTTTAATGCACCAAAAATAACAACAAATTCTGTGAGGTTTTTTCTTGACTAAGAAACATCAAAAGAATTGAAAATTAGAGAATATAGTTTAGAATTGAAAGAGTCCTCAATATTAATCAGTATCAGCACTATTTCTTAAAAATATTAATTTCTTAAAAATATTAATAAATAATACACGCGCATAATAATGAGAGGAGGAATTTAATCAGAAACATTTTCTTCCTTCATAACTTGGTCATATTATTGTTACTCGCTCAGTTATTCCTGCCTCTGATTTTGCATGGGATTTGGAAGAAATGTGAAAGTGCACTTTTAAGCGATGTTTTTATAGTAGAGTAGGCTGTGTGCTTAAAAATACAGCAACTTATCTCTCAGTAGCACCACAAGATAAGCACTTTCCAAAGCAAAAAAAGGCATACCTTCCATTTCCTGCAAAATCCACATAATCAGGAAGCACATACCACATTAAAAATAGAAAAATACGCTCTCATACTTCAATTTCTTAACAAAAAAAAAAAACAAAAAAAAAGACAAAAAATATGTGCGATTAAAAGCAGAGCTGTAATTCTGATTTTTTTATTTATTTTTTAATCTTAACTGGCATAGCCATTTAATTACAATGAAATGCAAATGTTACAACCAAAGTAAAATTTCACAAGCATCCATCAGTTCAATATTAACTATCAATATTAATTTTAGAAATTATTTCATAGATCTATAAGATCAAGTAGATCTTTAATTGTGTAGAAGGACAAATCATATCTGACTAACCTGATTTTCTTCTACAGTGAAGTAACTGGTGGTGAACAGTGTGTGTTGCATGTCCTTCCAAACACCCCTGAGACCAAATTGGTGAGATACAGACTGGATAAGTGGTTAAGAAGGTGGGTGGACAACTAGCTGCACTGTCAGGCTCAAAGCCTGGTGATCAGTAGTATGAAGCCAATGGGTAGCTGCTTGCTATTGACAACCCTCAGAGCCTGATACAGTGGCCAATACTGTTCAGTGACTTTATTAATGATCTGAAAGATGGGACAGACGGCACTCTCTGCAAGTTTTTAGATTATATGAGATTTGAGGAAGACATGAATTGGGAACAAGCAGTGTGCCCTTGCTGCTGTTAAAAAAAATCCAAACCCAAACAAAACAGCGTAAGAGGAGAGGATGAGAGAACTGGGTTTCTTCAGTTGAACAGAAAAGAAGGCTTGGAGGGAACCTCAATGCCCTCTCTGGCTTATCTAACTGGAAGCTGTAGAGACAATGACACAAAAAGTCTTTTTGGAAGTGCATGGTGATAGGCAACAGGCAAAAGCTGCAGCACAGAAAATTCTGAATCACTAATACAGAAAAAATTTTACCAGGACAGCAACCAAACACTGGACTAGGTGCCCAGAGAGACTGCGGAATCCCCATCACTTGAAATTGCTGATATGAGCATGAGGTTGCATGAGATGACCCCTGGGAGAGCCCTTCAACCTGAATGACTCGTTTATATAAATATCTTTACTAACTGGGACCTGAAGGTGACTGGATAGTATTACAATTGCTTTGTTTCAGGATTTTAATCAGTATTTATCAGAAAGTGCACAATAACCAGTAACTTTTAATTCTATTTCAGCAACATATAAAGCTTAACTGAAAATGTATGTATAATAGGAGTCCTGTATAATTTACCTCACCACTGTTAGAGTTTTGCTACATAAAAAGAATATCGTCATACAAGTCATAATCACAGTAGTTCCTTCAGAAATTATTTCTGTAATTTTCCCTTTGTCATTTCCTGCATTTGCTAAACAAAATCAACATAATTCCTTGAAAAAGAAATTGAATTTATTAATAAAGAGCATAACTTAGAAAGATTTGCTGAAAACTGCACACTCATGGAGGGTGCCAGCTGCTCTGATGCTCAGTTATCCCTGGGTAGAGAAACCAATTTTATGAATACATTCAGACAGTGATTTCTAAATCCAACCAAAACCTTGGCTATGAGGAGACTTAAGTTTGTTAACAAAGGCATCATCTAAAGTGAAAATTAAAACACAGCTTCCAGTTCACCTCAGTATTCCAACCAGCAAGAAATAAAAGCACAATCCCTCAAAACTTCAGCATTAGAGTCAAGGCAAGATAAAGATGAGAGAGACCAATTCAAATCATCGTATTAGCTTTAAGTAGCATATCATTGTGTTCAAGTCTGACAAGTATGGATCCAAAAGCTAAAGAAAAAATCAAAAATGAAAAAAATTAACATGACAATCCTAATTATGCAGAACTTTATTTATATATGTATTATTAGGCCTTCATTTTTCCTTTTCTCCCTCCTATGTAAGGTGCAAAAGCATGTATTTTCTACTTGAATTAGCTTCCAACTTCTTAATAGTATTTTCAATTTTGGTTTTTTCCTACTGCAAAGTTTCACACTTGCAGAAATAAAATTCCACAAATTTCATGTCCACTGAAGAGAACTGCAGGATAAAAGATAATATTAGTATCTCCAAGGAAAGTATACCTACGCTGTCATTTGTAAGCAAAACAAATTATATTACACATATTGATAAAAAAAAAATCTTCTAATACAACAAAACATCAAAAGACATTGAATTTTATGTATTTTTTAACCTCTAATCCCCAGCCAGATTTACACATTTCTAAATTGTTTCATATGACATTAAAAAGCCCATCCACAGGGGATGGAGGTGCTAAAACGAACT